TAATATATATTTTTTTTTATTATTCAGCTATTTACAAACATAAATCACCTGCAGTGGACAGAGCATGAAGGATGTGGGAAATTGCAGGGAATAACCTACAGGTGTAGTTGAACAACTGATCATATGAAAAAATCAAGTTTCTATGTGCTTTATACACGAAGAAATTTAATTTTTACCGTAATTATTCCGGCAAAAAAATCTGGCATGTTATGGCACGTGCTATCCTCCGATCGTAAGCAAATAAATTCTGAAACCGGTCTCGCTTAAATTGTCAGTAAACGACGGAGCTCTCATATTGGGGATTTTACAACCTTTATTATATGCTTCAATGCCTCATGTGTCAATGACCTGCACAAATCCCATATATTTTTCTCTTTCCATGCAGTAGGTTCTTAAACCTATTCATTTTATAAATGATGAGATCACAATGTTAGAATCGAAAATCATATACAGTAATGATTGATTTCCAATACCTTTCAAGTAGCATTGGATTCTAAGCGAACTGTATGTTGTGCTATTATAGCACGAATGGCTGAAAATCAAACTAGAAGGGTACGGAATTCGGGGAAATATTCTCGCGTGGATAGAAAAATTTCTACATGACCGCAAGCAGTGTGTGTGATGATTAATGGCACGAAATCAACATCTGTACCTGTCACAAGTGGAGTACCACAGGGCAGTGAATTGGTCCCGCTGCTGTTCGTTTGTTTCATAAATGACATGCCTGACGTTGTACATGCCTCCATATAAAATGTTTACTTATGATGCCAAGTTATTTCGGGAAATCAAGAACCAAGTGAACTGTGAAGAGCTGCAGAAGGATCTCTGTGAGCTCCAAGAATGGTCAAAGAAATGGCTGCTGAGATTCAATGTCACGTACCAACGGTAAGAAAGCGTATCATATGTCCCAACGGGATGAAGAAACTGCACTAGTTGAGACTGAATGTGAGAAGGACCTAGGAGTGTATGTTGACAATGAACTGAAGTTCTCGGGCCATTGCGAGAAGAAGGTAAATCAGGCAAATAAATTATTATGTCTTATAAGAAGGTCGTTCAGATACAGTATCTAGACGGTCTGTCTCTCGTAACAATCTTCAAGAGTGAAGTGCTTCCCCATCTGGAGTACTGTCACCCCATCTGGTCTCCAAGATATGCTAAGGACTGTCAGTTGGTTGAAAATGTTCAAAGGAGGGTCACCAGACTGGTGCCTGCACTTCAGCACCTCTACTACCCTGAGAGATTGGAGAACCTGAACTTGCCTAGCTTATACTACAGACAGGCAAGGGGCGACCTAATTGAGGTGTATAAGCATCTCAAGGGGCACTACTCAGTCGAGTGTCTTTACTTGGAGCTGGCGGATGCTTTCCCCACAAGGGGTTACAGCTCAAGATTGAAGAAGCCACAAGTCCAGAAAACTGTGAGGGCAAACTTTTTCGGAGTAAGAGTTGTGAACTTTTGGAACAATCTGCCAGAAAGTGTTGTGACGGCACCGAGTGTGAGTTCTTTGAAGACCAGACTTGACCAACACTGGAGCAGGTTCAGGTACATTAAGGAGCAGGTGCATGCCCAGTTCCTGCCAACAGTGCATAACAGAGAGCCAGTACATGACAGGTACTTGCCAACAGTGCGTGACAGACGTGACCGAGCGCCCAAGCAGCTAACAAGCCTATCAGTGGTGAAGAGGATAAAAAAAGTAAAAAGATATTTAGGTTAAGTTAAGTTAGGTTAGGTCAGGTCAGGTTAGATTTGGTTAGATTAGACTAACGATATCTTAGTAAACACCACGCTGTAGTAGCACTCTGTATGTTCATATACAGTGCTTATTGTTCTTCCTCAAGGAGGAGGACTGAGGGAGAAGCCATATTGTTTTTCAATGGTGTCCTTTTCACGGCATGTTTGGTATCGCCTTACAAGTTATCTGTGCTTGTGGAGGATGAAGACCATCTCCAAGTGATCATCTGTCTTCACGGACTAGTTGCCAGGATGTGCAAGTGTTCAAAATGTGGTAGAGAACTGACACTGAAGAGGAAATATTTGTTTTAATGAAAGGACCGATCGTACTCTCACATCCACAAAGACTTAAAATTACACCATGCACGCTTCAAGTTGCTTTCATTAGTACCAGATATCAAAATACCCCTGTAAGTTCTTTCTGCCTTATATGCCGGGGGTCTGGCGGGCAGAAGTTAGGTAAGGTTAGGTAGGATTCATTGGTTAGGTCAGGTTCTGTTAAGTTCCATGCATTCTCGTTTCCATTTTCGTGTATAGCATCATTCAAATGGTAATTCCAGAAATTTTGGTTCAATACCAAAGGTATTTCTACTGCTAACTGTGTTCACCACCTTTACCAGATAAAGTTCCAAGAATGGTCACTACGGAATATTAATCCCGCCTTCTCCTACACTACTACCAGATTTTCTCCTCCTCACATGAAAATTTTCAGAATCTCCAAAATTTGAACTTTTTTCTATGTGACATTTCATAAGTCAAAAAGGCACCAATTACTTTAGCACTTTACCTCTCGCCCATGATGTACTGGGTAACCTGAATGTCATTAGTTACATTAGTGTCATATTACTAAACATAATGACTTTATGTACACCTCAAAATGGTCAAACAGAACTCGTACTGTATGTTAGTGAGTTCCTTTCACATACTCAACATTGGGCATTTATCGTTAACCACCCATCACCTTTTTTTCACATGAAAAATATAATTTTTCGCTAGTTTTCTTGTTGTTTTAGTTGATTCTGACATTTATAATCATCTAAAACAACAAGAAAACCTAACCTAACCAAACCTAACTAAAAACAAAAGTGATTTGCCCCAAAGATAAATGTCAGAATCATCTAAAACAGCAAGAAAACTATAGCGAAAAATTATATTTTTCATGTGAAAAAAAAGGTGATGGGTGGATAACAAAAAATTACCCTGCAATGCGGTAAAACTTAAGTTTCTGTGTTCCCTGTACAGTATTTAGATATCCAAACTGTGCTTTACCGATGGTTTTTGATGTGTTTTGAATGATTTAGACCATCATTTCTATAGGAATTTACTGTTTTTTGAGATACCGCCCCAGTGGGAACCAGGGATTTTGAGTGTGAGAAATCACAAAAACTTATGATTTTCAAGACATTAAGGTCTCAAAACCTATCCTAACCTACTGTAACCTGAATAATTTGCGACGGTAAATCGTATAACTGTATTAGAAAAGTGACTTAGAATTGTCTTAACTGCAGATTTCAATAGATAAATTCCTAAGAATCCCCGAATGGCCGAAACTAAAATAATACCTGTAATGCTTTTGAA